AAGAACTGGCAAAACACAGCAGGCAAAGTGGTTATGTAAAGCAATGAACACAAGAGCTTATTTAAATTAGATCTAGCTGCGAGACAGAGCAGAGTGTAAACGGGCTGGGATTAGGCAGGCTGGGCTGTCGTGCATATGCTGAGTTAAAGCCCTGGGTTCCCTGAATAGTCCATGAAAAAAAGGCAGCTTTTTAGGGATGCTCCCACCACAACAGATGGGATTGCTGCTGGGGTGGGGGTCCCTCTCCACCACTGTGGGGATGGATCCAGGCACATTTACACACCAAAATCTTAATTTGCTTGTCTACCTGAGGGCGTGGCAGCACCATGACCTGATGGGACACAGTCCTGCCACAAAGGTGCCATTTGTGAGGGGTGAGTGGCACCCAGGACTTCTCTGGTGTAGTGAGTGATTTAGAACAGCTCTGTTATTAAAAGCCACAGTAGGAGTTTGGCTGTGACTTACGGAAGAGAAGTCAACTTCAATTCCACTATTCAATACCAGTATAAACAGAGGATTCCTGGACTATTGACTAATCCTGGATAGGATTTGCCAGCAAACCTGGAGAGAATTCAGCCACTTGGTTTTATGGCTTGTTTTTTTTTATGTAATATGGAGAAATGCTTGTCATGTTTATTTACTTGGCATCACAGATCTGATGGTGGGCAGAGCCCTGCCTCCCACAGCCCCAGAGCAGTGAGCACATCCCACCACCCTGCCAAGGTGCTCCTCACCAGGGGAAGGTGTAAGGGAGTGTTTGCAACACCATACATGGAGTTAATAACTCTGTGAGCCTCTCAGACAAATGGAAATCAAATAGATGACCTTGGAAGAGTGTGTAGAGAGCCTGGCAATGGATGCCAAGACTCCTGGTCCTTTCTTTCCATCCCCTTCACACCTGAGGCTCTTTGGCAGGTCCCTTCAAAGGCATTACATGAAGAAATGCAGGCAGAAATAAAGCTGAGGAGCCACTTGGGCAAACAGTTTAGTGTGCAGAGTTATTTACTCTACAAATCATCTAAACTGTGAGAAGGCTTCATAAAACATGATAAACAAGGGCTCTGGAGGGAAGGGTGAGCTGCAGGCACGCAGGCTGGGCTGAGCAGAGCAGATCCACAGCAGAACAGAGATCCTCCAAAAGGGTGAGGAGGTCCAGAGGAGTTCCCCAAGTGCTGCCCTAACAAATGAGCAACTCGGAGCTGCTGGAGCTGTGGCAGTTTCTGCAGGAGCAGGGCCTGCTGCCATGTGTTTTAATAAATGGGATCACACCAGCTGTCTGTGCAAATCAAACATTAGCATGTGTCAGACACTCTCCAGGCACTTGCAGTGACTTGGGGGACATTTTGCAGCGGAGCCATCCAAGCACAGGCTGTGCCACGCCAGTGGGAAAACATCTTCCCCTGTGAATTTTGGGGGGCCAGGAACTGCCCACACCCAGCTCCCCTTGCACGTGTGCCCAGCCCAGGCTCAGATGAAATCCTGGGATTTTAGTTTGAGGAGCTCTGTGTGGGGGGACTGACAGTGCACCAGGACTGGAGGTATTTCCTTCAGCTTCCCCTCCTCCCCAGGTCCTGCTGCAAACCTCTCCAGAAAGCAGGTATGATGGCAAGAAAGCAATAAGCAGGAAAATCAATTTGCACTGCATCTGGCCAGTAAAATTCAGAGCTTTTTGAAAATCAGGGCTCAGACTGTGCAATGTTAATGGCACACTGGGCTGCACATGGTAGATCAGGACACTCAGTGGGATCCTGTTTTGAGGAAGCTGGTTCCAGAGCCAGCCCCACAGGCACAGACTCATCAGTGAACAGGGAAAACATCTCATCCTGCCCCAGAACTTTCTATCCATTGCTGCCACAACGCAGAGCTTTAAAACCTCCTCCAGCTGAAGTGCCATGAAAACATGAATTTACTTGTATGGCTTTAAGAGGTATTTAATCTGTGTGGAAAAAGAACCTAAAACTGGCAACAGTGCTTTTCAGGGGATGTCTGCCAGCTAAAGAGTTTACTAGACATAAATAATGTGGCTATAATGGACTTACTCCTGGTACCAGACCCCATGTGGGTGCCAAAATCCAAAGCAGACGTCCATGGCTAGCAACATGAAAACTTGGCAATGGAGAATGTAAAATAAACCAGATCCACAGGCTGATTAAAGCAGCTGCAAGGACAGTGATGAGCAAAGCTGGGAAATAGTTCTAAGAATTCCATATTAGAGGCCACACAAGGCTAATGCCTCGATGGCAAGAGGTGAGATGTGCCTGGTGTAGGGATCGTGGGGACACACAGTGTCACCCTGCAGAATGTCTCACCTGCTGCTCTTCCTGAGTATGTGCTGCCCTGAGCAGTTTGTAATTGCTGGAAGAATATCAGTCATTGCCTCTTACAGTTGTTGTGGAGCTTAAGCGGTGCAAGTTAATACGTGCAAGAACCAAATTTCCTGAGTGTTGTTTGAATAGTTACTTTTTTATTATTATTCTTACCAGGAATCCTGATTGTTCACATTCAGTCTAATTCCACTCAGGAATGTCCATTAAAATTTGAATACTCAAAGCAAATACAGAGGAACTTTTTCAAAATCAGAGATGTTAAATTACTACAATCAAATAGGCCCTTACAACTCAGAATATTCTGTGATTCTGTGAAATACTTTTTCCAGGAAGCTTGTTCCAGTTCAGAGAGGATCATTCTCCTGTAATGATCCCAGCAAAACCATAGCTCACACTGGTCTCTGAGGGTATAAATGGTTACAATGCCCTGTTCTGGGACAGAACTTGAACTTCTTTCAATCAGCCAACAAAAAAAACCACTTGGAGAACTAATGGCTTCCAAAAAAGAAAATGCCAGTTTGCTTTAGACAGTTTGCCAAACAGGAATAGGAGTGAAATATGTTGAGTGATTTATTACAAGTGATTTGCCAGCTTGAGCAAGTGCATCACTGCTCTCCTTAATTTAAAGACAGAAAATGAATGCAAAGAGACGCAGAGATGCTCTAAAGCAGCTTGAACCCTCCACAAAAGACCAGGGTTCCAGACTGCCACCCAGCAAGACCTCTGCACGTCACACTCCACATCAGCACTGCCCTTTCTCTCCCGGATCTTCCATCATTTGTCTTTTTTTAAACCTCTGCACAGCCCAGGCCGTGGCAGCGCCGGCTCACACGCTGTGCCATGGTTTCCACTAACGCACTTCAAACCTGCCTTGCAGCTGCTTTGCTTATTCACTCCAGAGCCCTCCCCGGTCCAGGGCCCTGCCTCACGTTGTGTGATGCTTCCCTGTGCTCAGAGGAATGGAGTGAAACCATGAAACAACCTTCCTGGCTTGGCAAAGCCACTTCTGCAGCCAGATCCCCCGAGAAGGAACAGGTTGGCACAGTTTGGGGTTTGGTTCTTCCTTCTCCCCCAACAGCTGCCTCTTTCTTTTTAACTTTTAAATTAATCCACTAGTTAATTAAAAAATACATATATGTATATATATATGAGGAAAGCCCACAGGTGAACTTCACATACACATAATATATTCATGTTTCCTACTCCTGACTTGGCTAATGGAATTTAATAACTGCAAGACTGTAAGGTATATTGAGAATTGTTTAAAGTGTAATCTCCAAAGATATGGCTAGGAAATAATCCTCTGGTTTTAGCCCTACCATGGTAACAACGAGCATCAGTTTAATCCTAGAAGGAAGATGAGTGGAAATAATGCATTTCAGTCCCATTGTTCTCAAATCAGATGGCTCAGTCTCCTCAGAGAGCAGAGAATTTGGGTTAAGTACACTGGGCTGCCGCTGACAAAACCTTCCAGGCATCTACAGGAGAAATGCAGCCCTCACCACCTCAGATGAAAGTTAGGGATCATGATAAAATGCAGAGGAAATCCAGGGCTTCTATCAGCGCTTGATTTTGGTTTACTTCAACAGTACAGAGGGGAAACTGGGAGAGTTATGTATAAACATTTACCGACTCTGGTCTTAAACCTAAATGCACATTCCCTCACCTGCTTTTAGTGGGAAGGAATGGTTCTGATTCATTTCCATTTAAGTTCCCTCCCTTCAGGAGTGGAAACATCCCAGCGACTTCAGTACACATGCAGCTTTAAATTCCAACTGCCCGCTGATTAACCCCACCTGAAATTCATGTTCCAAATAAAAAATTGAGCAGCTATCACATGCAAGCCTGGCAGCTAAGGGGCTATGGAGATTGGTGTCTTGCTCTCTTCTGTCCCTCCTTCCGTGTCTCTTACATTTTTCAAGCTCAATGCTCCAGTAAACAAATCCCTCAACCCGCCAGAGCACTGGAGCATGGCAAGTGTTGATGCTGAAATCCATTCCACGCATGGGCGTGTTGGATTTAGCACTGTGTGGAGAGCAGCAAAGCCGTGCTGAAGTCAGGAGGGGCTGCTAAAACCAGCTACGGATTTCCCCAAAACAGCAAAAATAGCAGCCTCTGGCTTCCACCATGCAGCTCCTTTTCAGAAGCCAATGCTACACCCTGCGTCCAAAACTTTCTGAAATTAGGAGCTGTCACTACACTGAAGAAAAGGGCTCTGGATCAACACAAAGAACGGGGAGAGGGGGGAGATGGTTTTATTTCCCCTGAATTTGCTGGCTGCTTTCCAGCAGAAGGGGGGGAGATGCAGAAAATGCAGAGAAAGGGTGGAGATTTGGGGGTTTCTGGCCATGACCGGCCACCAGGAGCTCCGGACCGGGACACGGGAAGCTCCGGGCACGGTAAGGGGCCGGATTAAGCACGGAGCAGGATTTTCCCCGGTGCAAGGTCTCTGCTCAGCGCGGCGGGGCAGGAGCGGCTGCGGGGAGGGGCGCAGCAAGCGGAGCCGAGACCCCCACAAACCCCTCGTGAGCGCACCCCGGGCCGGTGCGACCCCTCAGGGCTGCCCGGGACATCCCTTTGCCGAGCCGGACCCCGCTCCAGCATCCCCTCCTGCCCCGCCCGGCTCCGCAAAGTTTGGGCAGCCGGGGGAGGAGGCGGCCCCCCGGCCCTCACCTGGATGACCGTCTTGAGCGTGGAGGTGTCCACGATGGCGGTGCAGATGAGGGAGTCGGGATCCTGGTCCTTGCCGTAGATCTGGCCCATGGTGAAGATCATGGGGATGGCGAGCAGGAAGGAGGCGATCCAGATGCAGCTGATGAACTTCTTGGTGCGGCTGCGGGACATGATGCTCTTGGCTTTGAAGGGGTGGCAGATGGCCATGTAGCGCTCCACGCTGAGGCTGGCGATGTTGAGTGCCGTGGCATAGGTGCAGGCGTCCCGGAGGAAGTAGTAGCCCTTGCAAACGGCCCCCCCGAAAGCCCAGGGGTGATGGACCCAGATGAAGTTGTAGAGCTCGATGGGCATGCAGAGCAGGAAGATGAGGAGGTCGGAGAAGGCGAGGCTGGCCAGGTGGTAGTGCACGGTGCTCTGCAGGTTCTGCAGCGACTTCTTCCGCACCAGCGTGTACGCCGTGATGGAGTTGCCCACGGTGCCCACCAAGAACAGAGCCGAGTAGATGACGGTCACCATCACTTTGGAGTAGATGTCGGTGTTGACGTCCAGGTCCTCCTCGTCGGGCACTTTGGGGAGCAGGTCGGAGCGGTTGGTGGCGTTGGCATAGCCGCTGGGCTGCGGCTGCAGCGGCCCGGCGGGCACGGCCGGGGCCGTGGCGTTCGGGTGCATCCCCGGCGCCGGGCAGCGCCGCCCGGAGCCGCCGCTGCCCCCGGCGCGGAACTTGGCCGGTTTTAATGCGGCGGGAGGAGCCGGCGGTCCCGGGGCTGCCGCGCGTGTGCGAGTGCGAGACGCGCCCCCCGCTCGGTGCGAGCGGCCCCCGATCCCTCCTCCCTGCGGCTCCCCCCGCACTGATGGGTGTGCTGCGGGGGGATCCGCACCGCACCGGGACACCCACACACACCGGGACACCGACACACACACCGGGACACAGACACACACACACCGGAACACACACCGGTACACCGACACACACCGGGACACCGACACACACCGGGACACATACCGGGACACCCACACACACCGGGACAGCGAAACGCACACCGGCACACACACCGGGACACCAACACACACCGCGACACACACCGGGACACCGACACACACACCGGGACACTGACACACACACCGGGACAGACACACACATCGGGACAGGCACACCGGGACACCGACACACACACCGGGACACCGGGACACACAGGCACACCGGAACAGGCACACCGGGACAGGCACACACAGCGGTACACACCCGCACACACACACACCGGGACACCGACAAACACACCGGGACACACACCCGCACACGCACACCGGGACAGGCACACACCCCGGTACACACCCGCACACACACCCGCACACACACCCGCACCGCCGCGCCCTCCCCGCCGGTCACGCAGAGCCCCCCGGCCCCGCTGCCGAGAGCGGTTTTGCAGCCCCAGCTCTGTCCCCAAAGCCCGGTCCGTGCAGGGACAGGGAGGAAAAAGGTCCCGGGCTGGGCTGCGCTGCCGCTCCCCGCGGGGACTCCCCCACATCCCTCTCTAAGTCAGGCACAAAGGCACGGCTGGAAACTGAGCGCTGGTAAGGGGCTGCTCGTGGGGCTGAGCCCCCTCCTTCATCCCCCCCAGGGTGAGGAGAGGTATCAGGGGTGCTCTGACATCTGCAGGTACTGCTGATTCCCAAATAGCCACTCAGCTCCTGCTGCTGCTAGGATAAATGCATGTAAATGAAGGGGAAAATACATTTATAAATACCTACCTGTGCCCTGACCTGATATGGCACCCTCAGTGCCATGGCACAGCTGCTTTGCTTTGGTCCCTATCAGTGACTTTTCCCTTAATATTTTCATATTTGGGGATGTGGGTTCCTCTGTGAGCTTCCCTGTTGCAGGGACAGGGGCTGTGGGGTGTTGTGATGATGTTGAAGGTGACAAATGGATCCTCCACAGGGAAATGATGGGTGGTCTGTGATGGGGTTACCCTTTCAGCCACCCTGAAAAACTCTGGTGAGCTGTTTGTCCACTCAGTCACCTTTGAGAGAAAAATCTTTAAAAATGAAGAGAAGAGATGGAGGAAAATCCCATTCAGGGCATCACTGGTTTATCCAAAGACAACCGTAATTTTCCCTGTTCATTAGCAGATGCTGAGGGCCTTGTTTCCAACAGCCAGTTGTTGGGCTCTGTGTTCACCCAGGCTCTTACCTAGCTGATGAAAGAAGTCTAATTCTTCAGTCAATCAAATCATCTCTTGAATACAAGCAACAAACTTTCCCCTGCCATCCACCAAGAGTCAATATTCCCCCCAGTTTTTCTCCTTTTGCATCCATCCAATAAGAACCCCATGGAAGACTAACCAAAATCAGATTTATTTAGTCATGTTATTCATACCAATTTGGAGAGAAATATTTTCTGGCACTCAACCCACTTTGGTTTAGAGAATGACTAATAATCTCTTAACACCAATGTTCCTTCCATTTAAGCTCTTCTATTATGAACTTTCTATTAGTTGAGAGGAGTTTGTCAGAGTTGCTGTTCCCAGCTGGTCTCCCCAGTTGCTTCTGACCCTTGGACAGGGTTTTGAGATGGATCAAGAGTATTTATCCTGGAAAAGGAGTGGAACATGAGGTAAGTTGGTTGGGTGCACTGATGTCTGAAGGAGAGCTGCAGCTGGGATGCAAACCTCTCCTGGCTACCCGCTGTCCCCAGCCCCCAAACCCCAGGGGGAGCTGAGAGCCCCATGACTGAAGGACAAACCCACAGTTATGGGCTAAAGCAGCTCTCCCACAGATGCAGCGAGCGAGTTCCTTTGGGATCTTTATCTGTAACGAAGAGTTATTGTCCCTTCTGGTGCTGTAACTTCATTTTGGCCTTGTGAAAAGCTGTTGCTATTCCCACAAACAAGATACCCATCTGCTGGTCTAATTTTGCAGTGTGGATGTGCACGTTTATATCAATAGCTGTCTGCAGAAATGCTCTGGTTTGGGTTTTGCTGCCTCATCTTTCTGCACACAGGCGATGCTCAGGCACGGCTGACAAGGAGAGAATTGCCCCAGCAGCTCTTCCTGAGTGCTCCATGTGCTGCCTCCTCCACTTTCCCTCCATGCCAAGCACTGGCAGGGAATATCAAAAGATACAGTTTAAAAATAATTCTAATTGCCAACTGAAATAGCAGGTACCTGGAAATAATGTGGCTGTTGAGCTACAATCAACACTTCAACAGGCTGGTGCAGTTTGTACCGGCCAAATCTCTCCTTTCCTAAAAGTGTGCAGGGAAGGTACTGCCCCAAAAATTAGTGGGGACCACCCCAAAAATGGACTGAGTGCTCCCACCAGGAAAGGCCTTAACAGCGCAATTCTGTGAGCTAATTAATTTAGTAAATTCTAATAATTCCTTGTCAAACCTGCCTCAGCCACACGTGAAGGATTCTCACTCTCTCTCGCAGCTCTGTTTCTCACAGATAGGGTGAGAGCACAGGGCTTGTCTCCTGGGATGCAGACTCGCATTCCCCGGGCAGGGATCGACCTCTCCACCTTTCCAGAAAGTTTTTGCCCAGCCAGGTTCTCCCTTCTGTCCTCACCTGGCTTTTACAGAGCTGGGTTGCTCCAGCCTGAGACCCTGCCAGCCCTGCTCTCCAAGCAGGCAGGGGCTGAGCCTGCCCAAAGAAGGCACACAAAATATCCCCCCCTTTCCCACCCCACATCCACCCCTTTCCTGCCTCTCCCTGCTGCCAGCACATGCCCTGAGGGATTTGTGAATTCCCTTTCTCCAAAATGAATGACAAAAACATCTCTTCTCACTTTCACTCCTGCTCCCAGCAAGGTTTTAACCCACGTTCCCCTCCCAGCTTCCTTCTGGTGCTCCAAAGCCTCCACCATAAATCCCCACTGTTTGTTTCGGAACCAGCTGACCTTTTAGCTAATCTGGGCTCGTTTTAATATATTTTGTGTGTGTGTGTCTGCGGCTTAAAAAAGGAAAAGAATCATGGAAACTAAAAAATGCCTGATCTCAAATGTTACTGCAAGGCATTTACTTAAAATCTTGCAGGAAAATGTCACCCAAAGACCTCATCTATTTAAACTGCCTGGACTTCGAGCCGAGGGTCCCATTGTGCCTCAGGTGTGAAGCCTCACTCCCCTTTTATGGAGACTCAAGTATTTTTCATCTTTTCTTTTTCCAGGTGATTCCAGTCACTAGGAATTTTTCGTGTTAGTCTTATTCCTGCCCATTTTCATCGGGCAGGATTTTTCTGAAGGGCACGGGAAGCAGCAAAGGGAAAGCTCTGCAAGAGGCTGGTGCTAAGAAACAGCATCAAACTTTTTCCCATGGAGCACCCAGCCCCAAACCCCTGTTAGAGCAGGTTTGTGAGGCAGGGGATGCTGGACTGATTGGAAGCCTTTAAAATCACTTCCCAGTGGGCTCATTATAAGACAGGCTGTGCCCTAAAAGTCAGGAGTGTCTAAGATGAGCTGGGAAGGTAAAATCCTGGAGTGTACAGGGATTTTTTTGGGGCATGTGGTGCCTGAAAAGTGAGGAAGTGAGGGAGAAAGGGGTGGTAGAAAAAGAGACATCGATCAGCATTGTTGGTGGTAATATTGACTGGATCATTACTTACAGGCACTCCTACACTTAACTTATTGCAAAATAAAGCGTTGGTTTGGCTGAGCAATAAACAATATTTACTGCCTTTGGCTGAACTGTTTTTCAGAAGAGTATTTTAAATCAAACCAGTTGATACACAGGAAATTTATTGACTCTGGTTTTCATGGCAGATTCACCCGCTGAGGCTCTGCAGTGTGAGCACGCTGGTGTGTGGGTTGGCAAAGTGGACAGACATGCCCAGAGCGGAGCAGTGATCACACACCCCAGCATGTGTGTTCTTGGGCAGTTTAAAAAAGAAAAAGGCAGCCCAAAACCCAGAACACGCTGTGATGTGCATGGGGCTATTGGTAAGAAAGTCACTCTGAAGAAGGATCGGTCTCTGGGAAGGAAGAACTGTGAAACAAGGTGCCGAGGCACCTTTTACAGCTCCTGTATTCTGTGTGTTACATGGTCAAATCCAGTCCTTTACTCAGGCAAAACCCCTTCTAATGTCATGAATGTACTGGCTGACAGACCTGGTAATATTTGTCTCACACATCAGAGAGTGCTGCATTAACTGGAAACACACAGGAGATAGCAACTGCTTTAGCTTAGAGATAAAGGAGTTTGGGGTCCCTTGGGCTGGTACTGCCACAAGCCCAAATCTGTTTCCTCATGGCAGTAAATGCATTTTGCCTTTATATATGCAGTACAAGTGCTCACCACACAGAAGTCGTGCTGCACACAGGGTTTCTCTTTGGAAATCCTGGGGTTTATTCCAAGAACAAATACCAAAAAAGGGGACAGAGGAGTCTAAATGGAAACTTCTCACTCGCAGTGGCTGGGACCCTGCATGGCAGCCCCAGGCACGGCACATGCAGATGGGCTGTTCCTCTGTTCCCCAGGGCTTTAATCTGCTTTTGCAGCCCTGGCAGCGGCTCTGCCAGCTGTGCTTCCAACAGCTCCACGCAGCGGTGCCGGCTCGGAGCACAGCCCTGCCTGCCAGGAGCGCTCCAGCCCAGTCCCTTCTCCTCACACACCACACCAGCATCTTTCAGGAGGTCTCAGAACTCAGTTCACAGATTAATCTCATTTTCTGAACCCTCCTCCAAAGAGCTGATGCTCTTTTCCAAAATTTCAGCAGGCCTGGCAGTTGTAAAGTGCAAAGGAAAAAGCAGCACAGCAAAAA